CGAGAACCAACTAGAAAGCACTCGCGTAAAGATTGATGAACTGGAGCGTCACGTGTGCCAACGCGTTGCCGTTCTAGACACCTTGACCGAGGAGGAAAAACGATAATACAGCAGCTACACTCAAACCATAGAAAGAAAACGTGGGGACGCCAAAAGATCGTCACTTCTTCAAAGGGTGCACGAAATCAAACCACAGTCTAGACTGCCCAAAGATCCAAAGAGGTACGTGCACAACTATTCCTCTCTTACACTTGATGCGACTATACTTGAAGCATTATCACTTGGTCCATAATTCAATTAACTCAGTTGGATGGCCTTGATAGCTCAGTTGGCTAGAACGTTGGCTGTACTCAAGCCTTCCTTTGCTGACGTGGGTTGGAATCCCACCGAGACCGCCGAAGTTTTCACAAGTAAGTCAAAGCTCTCCTAATGGTTACTGATAAAGGCAACGGAGACTAGAATGACCACTTCTGACTTTTTAGCCGTCATCGGCCAGTCATACACTAATCTAATTGGGGCTTGCAGCCGAGGATAATAAGAAACTCGAATCCGCATCCACCCGCTTGAAATTCCATGCTCGGTTCATAACTCGCTGCCCAGTCTAGAAATCGCCAATCTGGAACTATCGCGGGAAGACGTATGAACATTTAATCGGGCTGTTCAGGCTCTTATTTCATGTTTTCTTTGTCGAATCTGTTGATTACTGATTGCCACTTTCCACGTCACCATCGTGCGCGGTAGTAGGAAAATTTGGAAAGCTGGTACTCCATATTGTACTCAGGACAAATTAAAATACACCACTCTCTAGAATATATGCCTCCAATAAGGGGCGTTTGGTGGATTGAGTGTGGCTCCTTCTTAATGGGGCCTCCCGCTCAGGTGGGCTCCGAACAAGGTTGCTGTTGTGCAAATTCTTGATCAAGTGTAATTTGTGACCACAGGGTGAGAGATGAGGGGGGGAGTGTGATACGGAAGCCCAGGTTATGTCCGCTGGTACCCTTGACACCGCTTCCATTGGACGTTAGTAACATGCATAAGTGCGGCCTCGGGCAGCAACCACACGTGTCCTTTATGACACTCCCACTCTGTAGGATCTGTCGGGAATTTCGATCGTTTACGCCCGATCCCACCTCTGGTCTTCTTGACTTTGTCTTGACGCCGGGCACAGGCAGTTGGTGGAAGAGAGTGCGGTAGAAACAACGCGAGTCTACTATCACTTAAAACTTGTCCACGCGTAAGCTTTTGCATTTTCTTCCACTCTGTTGTGAAGCACGCTGTGGAGATCATCGAAACCGAAAAAGGCGACAAAGACAAGATTGTTACCTAGTAGATTGTTGTATTTGGTTGGCCTTTTCCCTATTGTTGTCACTGCTGCCAAGGGTGATGACGACAATAGTGATGGTGATCATGGTGATAATAATTTCAGTGTGTGGCGCCCGTAGTGTCGGACAAGTGACCAGTTATGGTAGCGGATGTCTATTCATATCTGCTTTGTTCTGACTGACCTATTACGTTGACCCCATGCCACATATCCCGCTTTGTTGACGAGATTTCCGTCTTAAACTGTCCCCCGTTCTTATTACACATTCTGAAATGATGGATTTAGCGCTTGTGTTGGCAAGGAAGGAAGAGGAGAAGGATGAGAAAGGGAGGGGGCAGGTGGCAGTACGTTAATGCTGACAAAAGTTACACAGTAGATGTGTGTACTCACCTCACAAGGCAGGCACGATGAAAAACGTAGAGCTCTTGTGTCACAGTCGACTGCCGTTTTGGGCGAGCGCGCTAAATAGCAAAAAGAAACATGTCGAATATGCGGTTGGTTTGCCTATAAATTTCTAGTCAATAATGAATTGCGAAAGACGATTTTGTTATGACAGAAATTCCTGTGCATGGGAGTCTTGGTAGGAAGGTCCTCTGGGATACGGTCCAAATGCCTTAAGGTTATGATTGAGATTATTTGCTTATCAAGATACCTTGTTGGACAGGTGTAACCCTATTTCAAAATACGTAAACAGTAAAGCCATTCGCATCAACTCAACTGAAACTTACTGTGAAATGTTGAAGAAGCTGGAATTCAGGAACCAATCGCGGCACGCTGATGACTGCATAGTCCAGGTTAGGTAACGAGTCAAAGATGAGGGGCATAAAATCGATTGACCTTAAATGACAAAATACATGGTAATTGTGACTCTTTTACCAATATTTCCTAGATGACATAGAGTTGTGAAGCACTAACCTCGTATCTACTTCATCCTTGATGCCAAACAATTGAATTATGAACGCGTTTGGCACCGCATTAACTGCATCTGAACCCTCTTCTTCACCACTGTTCTCGTCTAGCAGAGCCCGCGAAATATATCGCCGAACCCAGTTTCCGTCGGTAGTGTGCATGATACGGATATGGTGTTCCAAGCTTTGACTGCTAGTCATCATGCTTGAACGTAGGTCCTCGGAAGCATCACTCAGGGAATGAAGAAGAGCCTTTTTCTTGTGCGTTCGTGAGCGTGGAGACGTCTTGTCTGTAATAAGTGAGTGTTGGGAATATGAAAGTGAAACTTCACTCCTAGGAAGTAGGGCGGAAATATTTTCAGTCAAAATTGGCAGAAAAACGGACCCCAGGAAGATTATTCCTGAGCCAGATTCAATATGCTTATACAGTTTTACGATGGAAATTAAAGTCACCTGACCTTGAAGAGCAAATCCATAACCTCGAAAAGGTAAGGTAACTGCAATCAGCAATCGAGAACTATTAGCAGCTCATAAAAGGCGCTACTTTTAGGACTCAAACTGGGGCTGCTAGTAAGACTCTTATGTCGACAGCTTTTTTCGATTATACGCGTTTTGCCTTGCTCCAGGACTCCAACGTTTGGATGGCTTCTAAAATCCTTTTCAAACATTAATAATGTCGGCAAATCAACCATCGGGTCATCTAGTAATAGGCGGACTTTTCCACCCATTTTAAGTGCAAAGCTTATTTCTATTTTGATTTAGCAAACTTTTCAAGCCTCATATAGTGTTGCTATTATTTTGTGGCTACATAATTATGCAATATATAGCGACTGAAAAGTTTCCTTAAAATAATCTGTCTACGTGCAGCAAACGAAATCTCTTGGCATTATATTTTATTTAAAACACAATGCGACAAACGGATTGAAAATATTTATGAAGCTGTGACACATCTATATCTTTTTAAGTGACTTGTCGGTTATCATTATTATCAAGCCCTTGAAACATTTTCACCAGCACAACTTCAGCTAATGTTTACTTTTTTGTCCAATAAAGGAAAGGCAAGATTATTAATGTTAAACAGCCACATATTTAAAATATAAACAGTGTTTAGAGGAATATTTGCGATCCTGTAAGATCAGTTTATAACATAAAGACGATAGGTTAGGTCATTTCTATGGCAGTGTTATTACTTAAAACTGAATCACGAGGGCCAGAGTCAGGAGGTATGGAATCTTTTGTGTGTTCTGTTGCTGCTCATAAAATATTTGCCCCGAATGCACACTGAGCGAAAGCCCAAAAACATCTGGAATTACTTGCCTGTTTATTAATAAAACACTACTATTCTTTTTTCGGAGTTTCATATAGTATTTAAAAATATGAATGGCCCTTAAAGATTTTGAATTTATCCAAGCTCAACTTCTCGACAATTCTGTCATTTTCACATATTTTTAATGTAAGGGAGTCACACCTTCCTTATACAACGTTAACTTGTCCCAATTCAAACTTCTCTCGGGTGGAGCTGCCTCTGGTTCATCAAGCACTACATTTTCTGTCTGTTTGTTATCCGTTATTGATTCCGTTTGTACATCGTCTGTTGGTAATGCTTTGATATCCGTGTTCAATGTTTCATCAGGCTTTGGTTCGCTCTTCTTTCGGTCACTGCCTTCGACAGGAGCCTCACTGGTCAGCTCTTTGTTTTTCCGAAGACGGTTAAAAGGAGACAAATCATACTGCTTGTTCACAAAATCAATGTCGAATTCGGTAGTTGCACTCATGTAGCCAACCGCATATCCATTCGCCTAGAAACCAAGCTAAAAGTTGCCTCCATATAAGTTACCTCAACGACAATTGTTTTTAGTTTATCATTTTGCGCTTCGACCAGCTCGGCAGGATAGAATTCGCCATATGTGCTGGAAAGAACCTTGGTTTTGCTTTCAAATATTGGCAATACCTCGTCGTTATCTTTAACTCTGATAGATATGAAAACAAAATAGATAAAAAAATTACAAGGCTGGTCTAGCGTGAAGAATTGGAAAGAACGCCTCCCTCTTAAAATGAGCAACGTCCCAATGAAATTGCGCAGGGTTATCACAGGTGTTTGAGCCAGGTTCCGTAAATTGAATGGGTCCTAGTGTTTCATCCTTATATTTGCTGAATATCAAGCGGACTTCCCGTACCGGGTCATTATCATCTAGTTCATCTGAAAACAAAGAATGTAACAACTACTATGGTATTTACCCAAAACAACGCTTGATGGTATTAGGAACAGGAGATGGTGGATATCAACGGCCGTAGAGAAGGCTACTTTTATAAACTTTTCATATCCAAATTTCCGATATAATCGATGAACGACAAATAGATTTATGAATAACGTATTGCAGGTATTCAGATTGCTAAATTTGAATCGCAGTCTAAACCACTCGCTGCCACGTTGTTTGTTGAGAATTTCCGTGGGTGGACTATCATTAAGAACCAAGCACCCAATGACTTCATCTTCACCGTTCGTAGCAGTAATTGAAAGTAAAGAACGTTCCCTGACTAGCTTTAAAGTTGGACTGGCAACTTACAGCACACTGATAAGGTTAACTTTTCTAGTCAAAGACGTGTCATCTGCATCTATGAGTTGTTGTATATAAATCGCGTCTAATGCTTCTGTTCTGCGAAAATTCACAATCTTCATATTTAAATCACGAGGCTTTTATTGTCCTTCAATATCGTTATGGTGATGAAAAAGTTAGATTTCAAGGTCGAAAACGATGGTCTCGGGTGTCGCATGCAATTGAATAAGTACAAATGGCATGGTTTCAAATAAAAGTTTCAACTTTTAGGGGTGAAATTAAAGTCCCGTACTGGCGTCGTCTGTTGTAACGGCTTCTCTGATGCTGGTACTTTCTCGTGAGCAATCATGCATAACGTCTATTCGGGAAGCATTGCCAGACATAGATTTATAAATATCGGACTGGATTACTTAAAACTGTTTAACTTTTATGGAAAGGAATTTGTTCTCACCAAGGGGAAGCAGTATTACTGAGGGCTTGGTGTTATCTCCAATCCATTACAGACAATCATTCGATAGATTTTTTCCGTATGTGTTTGGCTGCTTATTGTTACGTCCACAGATGTCCATAGTCAGGTAGTTAGTCAGTATTACATATGTCTTTTATAACCTAGGCATGCTATCTACTCGATATTAAAAAATAGCTTGTCTACAGTCGTCAGATGAGTACCTAAGAGCTGCTATAATAAAATTATTTCATGCTAGCTGGAAGAACTTTCTTACTTATCTGGCTATATAGTTTACTACCCAGTAGACAGCAAAGTGGGCATTTCACCCGTTGCTAGTCTTCCATATGAAGGAATAAGCTTGTTTATTTATTTACTAGTATTGCCGTGGCAAAATGCGATTTTCGGTGCATATATAATCTCCCGAACTCATCATCTGAAAGGAATATAAATGTTTGCGCAATATATAAATTGTTTTCGGGGTCCGCTTTCGGAGTTTAAATTATTGCTGGAAATTTTAATTTCCCCGAAATCGAGATACTTCCAAACTTTTGTCCACCTAGATTTCAGCCTTTCCTAGATATCATTTATTTTTCCGCCTGGTCTCAGCTGGTCGGCAACCGAACGGGAGAAAATCATATTTTGTATCTGATTTTTACCAAAGGCATTGGTCACCACTGTTTCGCTCTTAAGCAGGGCTCGTCCAAAGTGACCATGCATAAATTCACTGTTGTCTTCTGCTTGTCCTTATGAAAAATGCCAGTGCCGTTCGCACGTATCATGCTTATTACTTCATCTATTAGCTTAATTAACAAATGTCTCGACTCATTGGATTAACAGTCTCTCTTCCACGAACGAAGTCCCAAGTCTTTCTGATTTCCTGTCAGCCATTTCTAATAAATTTCTGGGATTTGTGCCGACTTAAATTACCAAACCCTACGCCTTGTGATTCACCGTCACTCATCTTCTTTTTTCCCGACAAAAAATGAGGAGACAGTTGAAAGGTTACTCTCATAGTTCGTTACATATGCACCCGAGGCTCGCAGAGTTTTTCATATTAGCGTGTAAGATTCGTTTTGCACCTGCAAGACAAAGGGAATCATGCGGACTCAGTGAGCTAATCTCTGCAAAGTCTGTTGCTAGACTGTTCAGGTGCCAGTCTTCCGCTAAACGAGTTCACGAAATTCCTCCATTACTAAACAAGGATAATACCTTCTTTCTGGAGGAGTCTGACAAGGCTGAATTATTTAGTGCATTCCTTGCAAAGCATCTTACGACGGAATTTGAACCGGTTCCCTCATTTCCGCCATATTCGGTCAATCTTATCGGTACCATTAATTTCTCATTAGAATTAATTCGTTCATCTAAGAAGTCACGAACTTCGGGAACTGACGGTATTTCACACTCAGTTATGAAGAGAGTGACGAACTTCCCACGATTGCTTAACCATATGTTCTCAGTATAAATTTCTATCACGTTATTTCTCCCTTCCGGAAATGAAGTTAAATCTGTAACGCATGTTTTTTCGGCCCATACTAGAATACTGCTGTCCCCTCTTTGTTCTAATGAATGCCTCTGACCGCGGTTAGGTAAAAATGTTCAGAGTTTTTACTTATCTCTAATTATCTGCTCTTTCTCGATCCACTTTTTTTATACAGAGAGATATCAGTTAGCGAACATTACATTTCTTTGGGTTAGAAGACTCAAAGCGGGCCTCTGCTTCCTATCTCGTGTTTACTCTAGCCCTTAACTCCCATGGATCAACGCTCTTACGTCGGCAAATAGACCATATTCCATTCGTAATTCCTCCAAGATAATTGCATCAGCCTTTAGATCCACATCTTAACATTCTCGCTTTTTGCCTCCAAATATTCCTTCCTCTGGAATAATATTGCCCTCGAAATTAGATTGTCGTCTACCTTAGCTGTTTCTTAGGCCAAATTACGTAAACATTTAACTTCGGAAGATATCAAGTCCTTGTTATCAGTCTCCTTCCCAAACACACAACTTTTGGACTTTGAAA